GTGCGGGCCCTTTAAGGGGAGGCTTCCCCCGACACACACACACACACTGGTGCGCGACACACACACACACACACACACACACACTGGTGCGCGACACACACACACACACACACACACACTGGTGCGCGAACCTTCCCGCCACTAGATCTGCCAGACTTCCACAACTATATTTGGAAGTAATGACGTAGGGCATGCGCGCTAGCCGCTTCCGGCTGCCCATATAAGGACTGGAGCCAGGATCTCTATAAAAGACTTCAGCCGGCTTTTTCCGGGCCAGCGGGCGGGCGTGGGTGGTGCCTTACCCTCCTGGCAGGCCCCCTCCGCTCTCCCTCTCCCAGCCGCTAGAGCTGGTTGGAGCCCCCGCTTTCCGGAGCGGCGTCCATGGGGGCCCGCGGAGAGCGAGAAGAAACTTTCACTTCCTTCCCTCCGGAGTCCAGGAAGGTGTGACGCCCCTCCGGAAAGCCCCCTGCCGGCAGGTAGGGGCCACCTCAGGGCTCACACTGACGCCATCTCCCAGAGACCTACACAAAGACCTTGCCAACACAAGCAGCTACTCCCTGAGGACCACTACATTCCTGTCCCCGCCCCCCCCCATGGAGACCCTGCCAGGCCCCCTCTCATGTATTCCTGCCCCTCCGCCAAAAAATTGCTCTTCTCGTGCACATTTGGAGCATGCTCATGTCCCCCACTCCCAACCCCGGCACATGAAAACAACAATTATTCTCTCTTCTAAAAGACTTCTCCCAAAACTGTCCCCATTCAGCGATCCTGCCACATATTACGGCAACCTGCTGAGGACGCCCCCATCCTCCCCCCCCACGAAACTCCACAATGACATCCCCAGCCCAGACGCTATCTCTGACACACAACGGGGGCGACCCTCCGAGGACTTCCTCAGACATCCCGCTCCAGAGATCAGGACCCCACTCAGCCGACAGCTGCCTCCCGCCCCCATAAAAAAAGTGCTTTCCCGGAGACCCCACACAGAAGGGCTCTGTCACACAGGTGGCGACCCTATGAGTCCCTCTCCAGACATTCCTGACCCCTCCTCACAAGCAGAGGATTTCCCTGCAGACCATCCTCAGAGCCACCACCACACCCACTCCCGCACCCCCAGGCTCGCACCCAGAAAGACCTCACCCCCCAGAAGCATCTCCGGGCCCCCACTCGCGGCCAACCCGCCCTAGGGCGATCTCGAGGCGTCCCTCCTCCGCAGGAAAAAAGAGGAGGAGACAGTCCAGCAGAACTCCCCACACTTCACCCTGCCCCCGCGGGAAGGTGGGGATACCACCTCTCCCAATACTCCTTACCAAACCTGCCACTCCCGACCCTGGGCTGGGACCATCTCTCATCTCCCATCTCCTAGGACAGGATCTAGGTGCAGGCTCAGGGAGCCCATGAAGATGATCTACAAATTGAATGAGCCCCTTCCCCAGCCATAATCTCTCCTGATTTAAAGGAGACTATTATTATTTACATTGCCCGGAAGGGAAACAGGTTGCGCAGCAACAATCCGAGAGGTTGGGTCTCGAACCGAGGGATTTGGAGCTCTGAGTCGAACCCAGCCAGACGGAACTAGGACAACTCCGGGGACCAGGACGCGAAGGGGCGGTACGTGCAGACAGGAAGCCGTCTCTGCCCACAACCAAGATGGCGAAAGAGAGAGCGGATGTTTCCGCACTTCGGGCTGCCAAGGCCTCTCTTTCTCTCCTGGCGGCCCAGCTCTCAATGATGGCAGTGGTCACGTGACGGGGGCGGGGGTGACGGCTCGTTCTGCACCTCTTGGAGGGAACCAGCTTCCCAGGCCGAGAGGGGAGGGGGCTTGGCTTCGGGCGGGTGAGGGGCGTGACATGTCACTCGAAGATCCGTTTTTTGTAGTCCGAGGGTGAGTGACACCGATGGGGAAGGACAGAGGGTGTTCTGTCCCCCTGCCAGCCAGTGCCCGCGTGCCATACGAAGCATGTCAGGCATTCTGGGCACCGCCGTCGGGATCGCCCCGTGGCCGTGTGGGAGGGGTACGCAGTGGGATATGAGGGTCTCCTGAGTCCCCAGCTCGTTTGGGGGCGCAGTGGTGGGAGGGAGGACCGCCTGCCCCCAGCCGCGCCCGCTGTGCCCCTGCCCGCAGCGAGGTGCAGAAGGCCGTGAACACGGCCCGCGGGCTTTACCAGCGGTGGTGCGAGCTTCTGCATGAGGGCGCGGCGGTCGGACGCGAGGAGCTGGACTGGACGACCAATGAGCTGCGGAATGGCCTGCGCAGCATCGAGTGGGACCTCGAGGACCTGGAGGAGACCATCGATATCCTGGGGGGGGGGGGGGTTGGAGGGCGGCATGGGAGAGCCCATTGAAGTGGCAGTGGGCCGTGGGAGCCAGCCCTCGGGGAGGCTGGACACCTAGGAGGTGTTTGAGGGCTTTGAGGCAGAGGAAGGCGTTCTGTCGGGTCTGGCCTTGACTCTTGACTCGCGGCTTACGCATAGTGGAAGCCAACCCAGGCAAGTTCAAGCTCCCAGCCGGAGACCTGCAGGAGAGAAAGGTGTTTGTGGAGAGGATGCGGGAAGCAGTCCAGGTGAAGAGAGTTTCCAGTGGGGTGAGGGTGGGGAGGTTGGGGTATCATTACTCTCTGATGCTGTCCTTACCCCTAGGAAATGAAGGACCATATGGTCAGCCCGGCAGCCATAGCCTTCATGGAGAGGAATAATAGAGAGGTAAAGGCATCCCGACCCAGTAACCTCACCCCCTGTCTCTCGGGGTGACCCTCCCCTTGGGAGTGCAAGCCACCCTCTGTGTCAGTGCTCATCTTCTCTGTGCACAGTTGTCTCCATGCTGTCTACCCGCCTGCTCTTTCTGGATGTGTACACCTGAGCTTCTTCTGTGTGTATAATCTCTTCTGCCTTCTCCTGTGGGTCTATACTGGTTTCCTGTGTGTGTGGGGTGGCCTATCTCCTTTTTTTTTTTTTTTTTTTTAGCTCTCTGTGTTACTGTTTTCAGGATTTGATGCTTACCTTTTTAATCTGTGTATGCACTTGACCTCTCTGAACTTGACCTCTGAGTGGATCCCCACCTGCCTTGTGCATGCACACCATTTTCCTCTGTGGGTGTGCTTGCCCCATGTGTGTACCCACTCATGCCTTTTGTGCGCATTCTCTCTGCTGCCTCTGTCTGTACACCTTTTCCCTCTATGTTGTGTGTTCATTCTTGCATGTTGTAAACAGCAGCCTCACCCATTAAACCCACATGGGGTCTGGGAGGGTGGAGGGCTGAGGTCTGCAGCAGCTTGGAGTCCTATAGCATGCCTTCCGTGTGTGCTGCTTTGGGTATTAAAGTTCAATTCTTAAATACATGTGTTTATAGGATAATAAGTGTTCTCCCTGGATTAATTCATTAAACCCTTATTCCATCCTCAGGAAACAGGAATTATAGCTCTCCCCATTTTACAGATGAGGAAACTGAGGCACAGGGAAGTCAAGTGATATGGCCTCGGGGTCACCTTGCTAGTAAGTGGTGGCTCTGAGGAACCCAGGCCGTCCCACTCCAGAGACTGCCTTCCTGACAAACCACCATCTAAATTTGCCACAAACCTTGTCTGTCTCTGCCGTGAGTGGGCGACCCTCCCTGAGCCTGTGGTCTTGGCCTCCACAGATGCTGACAGGCAAGCCAGCCACCCCGAAGTCAACCAGCGACTTGCTGGACGCCAGTGTGGTCTCAACCACCTCTCGCTACATTGAAGAGCAGCAGGCCACACAGCAGGTGTGTGTGGGTGGCTGGAGGCCCCGGGCTGGAGGAGCCTTCAGGCAGCTCAGGGCTCCCTGCCGACCGCAGTTCCCACCCCTCCAACCTGCAGCTGATCATGGACCAGCAGGACCAACAGCTGGAAATGGTGTCTGGGAGTATCCAGGTTCTGAAACACATGTCCGGCCGCGTCGGGGAGGAGCTAAATGAGCAGGGCATGTGAGGCCAGGACCCTGGGGGTGGGCCAGGAACCCTTGGCCAGCTGCACAGACCCTCCAGGGGCTGATTACCTCCTGATCTCGGCAGTATGCTGGACACCTTTGCTCATGAGATGGACCACACCCAGTCCCGGATGGATGGGGTCCTCAGGAAGATGGCCAAAGTATCCCACATGACCAGTGGTGAGTCCCGTGGAGGTGGGGGGGGGGCAATTCGGCAGTGGGGGGAGGGGGTTGTGGGTGGTGCTGCCTCCCCTCTATGAACTCTGACCCTCTTGCTCCCAGACCGCCGACAGTGGTGTGCCATTGTGGTGCTGCTGGGGGTGCTTCTCCTGGCCCTCATCCTGTTCTTCTCTCTCTGATCCTGGTCCTCCCCAGGAAGTTGGTCCCTCCAGCCGGGGGGGGGGTCAGCAGAGCCTTGCCCCCTGGGAGGAGGGGGATCATGCCTGGGGAGCTGTCCCAAGGCTTCATCCAGAGCCAGTAGGACCCTCATGGCCCTGGGTGGGAGCCCCCACCACTGGTTCTGTCTCAAGTGCGCTTAGGGGGTGGTGGAGGTAGGGGGACCTCAGACACGCCCCTCCCCATCTCTCCTTCCCGTGCTCCCAAGCCATCGCTTTGCCCGTGTGCCTTCTACATGTGTCAACTTGGAAATAAAATCCCAGCCTTTGTTATATACATTTGTATCATATGATGTGTCGATCTGAACTTGTGGCTGTCCCTGAATGGGAACTCCTGTTCTAAGCCCCCTGCTTGCACACGCTGGGGCCAAGTGTGCATGTGTGTGTTAAGGATTTCAATGGTTGGTATTTGGTGCAGAAAAGACTATTCTGGTTTATTTCTTGGATTTCATGATGGATAATTTTATTACCATCGAAATTCCAAACACTGATTCTTCTTGAGCTTTTGAAGTTCAGCCTAAACGTCTTTTGCTTGTTCTTTGTCTAAGGTAGGTAGGTGAGTCCCTTAGCTGTGGAACTGAGCTGTCACTTCCGAGGGGCCTCTGAGTACCACTAGGCTCCCTCATACACCTGGTCACTTCGATCCCTCTGTGATGCTTCACTCTAACAAGAAAGCATTTGTAAATTTAAGGCCTTTGCCATAGAGCCTTCCTGAGTAGGAGAAATGATTCCTATAAGCCAGGTAAACTTGTAAGTGCTGTGAATCTACTTATTGTCTTAGATGTTTCCATCTTGAGCATTATGTAGTCAGGCATCAGGCCCACCCTTCTCAGTCGCTCATTTATACATTGTAAAGTGCTCTTACAAGGATGTCTGTCATTCCATTAGGCTGATTTGTCAAAGAGAACCAAATATGTTCAGATTATTTTTTTTTGGTCGCACCATGTGGCTTTTGGGATCTTAATTCCCCGATCAGGGATCGAACCCAGGCCCCCTGCAGTGGAAGCGTAGAGTCTTAACCACTGGACCGCCAGGGAATTCTGCTCCCCCCCCCCCCCCCACACACTTATTTTTTAAATGCAAAACCACTACCACTAATGCTGTGGTTCAGGTTGTCTTGATCCATTCTACACGTCTTCCTGGGGTTAAAAAGATGTGCTTCTGGGAGTCTGACAGTGTTTCCACCTACCTGGGCTTGCCTACATGTTAAGACAGGCAGACTTCCTGTTACTTGAAGTGACTCTGGACCAGAGTCACGTGAGGATTTTTGTTGATGCTGCTGTTGGCTCCCCCAAACCCCTGCTTTCTGTTGGTTGAAGCTGGGCTTCAGGACTCCAGAGGGGGCTGGTCTTACTGAAGCATGCCCAAGTCACCCTGTGAATTGAGTCACCCTCAAGCATCTGCCCCAAGGAAGTCTGGAGCTCCCTCCCATCATCATGGGGTGGTGAGACCTGGACTGGGCGGAGAGGAAACCCCTTGTCCACCTCCCCAGCAAAGATCTTTTGATTTGATGGAATCCCTAAGGTCTGTCAGTAGTCTTCCCACACTACTTGAGACATCTCTGAATCAATGGGACCCTAGGGCACGTTGCATCTTTTCTATTTCGGTTGTTAGAACATTTTCCCACTCATATCCTCAGGGCCCTACAGCTCTTCCAGTTTTTTTTGTCTTTTGGCCACCGTGCACAGCATGTGGGATCTTAGTTCCCTGACCAACCCGTGCCACCTGCAGTGGAAGCGCAGAGTCTTAACCACTGGACCACCAGGGAAGTCCCTCTTCCAGGTATTTTAAACAACCACCGGCTGATTTTAGGCTTGCCATCCCGACTTTAGTGTTCCTTCTGACTTTAGTGCTCCTTCCAGACGCAGTGGCTCGGGACGGGGCGAAGGGTGTGGGCTTACTACGTTCAGGACACGTTTCTGGGGCTGGGAGTGTCAAATACCATGGAAGGGCAGCAAGTGGATCTGTAATACAGATAATTCCATGGAGCAGCTGCCCTTCTAGCTTTGGAGGGGCTTCCGTGGGACGCCCATGCAGGATTTAGGGCCCACACGTGTGAGGCAAGAGCCTAGGGAGGGTGTTGTTTGTACATACTGGGGCAACCTGGAAGCTGTTTTCCCACCTAAAGAGGGCCCTCCCCTCAGGCCGACATGCTGAGGCATGACGTTTGGCATGGCCGTTCTGAGCACACCCCAAGCCGGGCCCCCACCGCATTTGTCAGTGTGAAGCCCTGGGGAATGGGGATGTCGCTCTGCGGAAGGAGGGGGGCCCTCGTGTGCAGCCAGCGTCCCTTCCTGGGCCCACCACCCCGCGCCCCCAGTGAGCAGCTTGCAGCAGGGCTGTTACAAAGGCGTTTAGTTTATTCTCCTCATCAGTATCACTGATATTCTCATGGTTCACATTTCCCAGTGCGGCTCCTCTTCTTACAGTAGTTAATGTGCAATCTCACTTATGGGCCCGGGGAGGAGGGGCTCGGCCCAGGGCAGGGAGGGCGTTGGCACTCCACGCGGACAGGGCGGGTGGTCTGTCCTGCGTGAAAGAGACGTGGGTGAATGGGCGGCCGGGGGAGGTGGAGGGGGGCCCCCATAGTCTTTTTTTGCGTTGGTCGGTGATCCTCCATTCATGTTCCTTCCTGGCTGCCCCGGGGGGTGGGGGGGTTGGGGGGTCCATGCAGCTGAGGGCAGGGCAGGGCCAGGGGAAGGGAAAGCAGGAAAAGCAGCAGGCCGCCCAAGAACGGGGAGGGCAGGGCGGGAGGGCGCAGGGGTGGCTCCTGGGGTAAGGCACAACCCTGTCTTTGGCTCTCCTGGTGAGGAGTTTCCTCCCCTGCGCCCCTGCCCAGCCCCTCTCCCCCGCCCCCTCCCCAGACCTATACACACAGTCCAGGGAGCCAGGGGCACCTCCTGGAGTCCCTGAAACAAGAGGGCTCTGCCACCCAACCCAGTGCTGCAGGGGCTCGGAGGAGGGACGGGGCAAGCCCCACCCGAGGACAAGGCGAGGAGGGGCTGGACAGGGGCCTGCCCAGGACAAGGGGGTGGGGAGGGAGAAGACCCCAGTCCCAGAGAGCTGGCCCCCGCTAAGGCCTGGAAGGAGGGGAGCGCCTGGGGACTCCTGCTTCCTTTGGGGGTCTGGCTGGAGCCCCAGCCCACCCCTCGGCCTTGGTCGGCCCGGCAGCTTGCCAAGTGACCAGGATATTGTGCTTTGGGATCTACGCAGGGGTGGGGTGTCGAGGCCAGGATGAGGGGGCAGGGGAGGTGCGACTAAGGTGCTTGTGCTTTAGCTGGGGCTGTCGACTCCCCTCCCCCACGCACTCGGACCGGCTGAGGGCTAAGGTACTGGGGCTGGGCCAGGAAAGCAGAGCGTCAGGGCCCCGCTGGTCTGACCCCACCCCCACTCCCACTCCCACCCCCACCCCCCGGCCCCTGGCAGCAAGCAGATGTCAGGAAGGACCCGCTCCCCGCAGGCTGGCAGGGGCTCCTGGGGGGGGGGGGGCAGGCAGGCCTCCAGGTCAGATCCCAGTGGTCCAGCTGGCCACCACCCCACCTCCTGTAAATCCCCTTGCCTTTGGAAAGAGAGGCTGCTGGGAGCAACGGGCTAGTCAGACTGCGGGGGAGACAGAGGCGGTGAGAACCAGGGCTAGAGACAAAAATGTGAAATTGCAAAGAAACGGACACCCAGCATGTGTGGGGAGGGGTGCGGGGGGGGGGG